GTTTCGGGAAGGGTCTAGGCCCGAAACGTCAGCCTTTCTGCTCCTATGATGCTGCTTGGCCTGCTTTGTTCATCCAGCTCTGCATCTTGTTGTCTCAAATATTAGCATAGGTTGTTTTTTAAAATAACTACAACAGACTTCTCCACACAAAATGCCATCACCACAAACACGCCTTCCTTAGACTGGGGAGGCCACTGCTACAGTGTTTCAATCAACCAAACAGAATGCTGGAACATTTTACCTAGGCAGTTACTGTTCTTTTTCCTGCATCGCATATTGCAATCTCAGATTATATTTAATGGTTGACAGTGTTCATTACAATAACATTCACTACATTTTCCCCATATAGTGGCTCCTGAATTTATGTAGCATTAAACAAGAAATTCTACAATTATTTGCAATGAATTAATTACCTCAGTGATTTCAATTTTCCTGGTTTCCAGTTAGCTGGACATTCCTTTGTTGACAGGTTTGAATCTGTTCTCACACCTTTGCTGCCTTAATCTTTCCAGTTTGCAGACTCCTCACTTGCAGCCTTCCTCTCACCTTCACACAGGTTTCCTATCTTCCCCACCGCCTTGCATCTCCCTACATCCTTTTGTATCCTGCTTCTCCACACCCCTCTTGTAGATTCCTTCTTCTCTTCACCTCTCCTGCATCCTCTTTCTAATCCACCTTCTGCAGCCTCTTTCTTCCCATCTACCACACCAAAAACATAGCCCTAGTATTCAGCGAAAGCCCCAGTTCTCTGTAAAAGCTAAATCAATAGGCATTGCCCCTCGTAAAAGCCCTGGCAAAATGCATGCTCCAGACTTTGCACCTCTGGCTTCCGTAGCAACTCCCTCATCACCATTACTTACTAATCGCTTGCTGCACCTCCAATCAGAGATTTTCTTTCCCATATTTGCTATTGAAATGCTTACTATGAACCTAACAGCAGCAAACATGAGAGAGAACCAACCTGTGATTGGAGGGGCAGCTCCTCACTGATTCACTCCATTCCATTAACTTGTCTCCCATTGGTCACCCATGAGATTGACGTTTCCAGAGCTTTTGGGAGTCAAACTTGGTCATTGTTCCCCTCATATTTTGAGTCCTACTGCATTGGCTGTTAAGTACTATGCATATTGTGAGGTTCTTTACCCGTCATGACTGCCATTTACCAAGCTGTCATGAGGTCTTCTCAGGAATTCTATTCTAATATTTGCTTTGACCCTTTATAAGCGCAGGTAATAAATTTCATGGCAGTAAATGGGAAGGGTGGAGCTTTTAACACCAAGCTTTCTACACTTGGAAATCTATAACTGTCATAGTTAAAAGATATCACTAGGTCAAAAATGGATGGATTTCTATGAAGCTACAACTGCTCACAGACATTTGAGCTTATCCTTAAGTATCGAAATAGGTAGCATTTAAACTAACATCAGTAAAACTTGATGTAAAGTTATCAGCTTTGATTCTTTTTCAGCCCCTCTAATTCTTCATTTTTCATTTCAGTGAAGGGAACCAGAGTACTGGCGACGGGAGGGGCTTCTTCAAATCCAGATATACTAAAGGTAGGAGAAGATCTACTATTATCACATATCTCTCTGCTTTGAGATAATCTCAGTACAATAATCAGTTGATGGCAGAGGAGGATAAATGAGTCCCTATTTCCACCTCCTGAGTTAATCTGCTCCCTGCTTAATATCTAATAATTATCCTTCATTGCAACTAGATCAAAGCCAATTAAGGCTGTCAATTCTGGTGCACAATGTAATTAACGTATGAAGACACATGTCATCTGTGGCTGTGTGTAATTAGCTGGCCAGATAGAGAAGTGAAATTTAAAAAGCAATCCATTGTGAGTATTTTACTAACTTCTAATTTCCTCATGAACTTCAAAAACACAAAACGACTTTAATTCTTTACAGGTAAATCTAAGATTCAACATCCGGGCCCCTAAATCTCCTCGTCCTTGATGATAGCTGGTCTCTAATACGGTGGTAGTTGGTATGTTATCCTTCACTGCGAGAGGTTTTGAGCACAGGAGTAGGGATGTGTTGTTGCAGTTATACAGGGTCTTGGTGAGGCCACACCTAGAATATTGTGGGCAGTTTTGGTCCCCTTTTCTGAGGAAGGATGCTCTTGCTTTCTCGAGAGTGCAGCAAAGCTTTACCAGGCTGATTCTGGGGATGGCAGGTCTGACGTATGAGGAGAGATTGACTAGGTTGGGATTGTTTTCGCTAGAGTTCAGACGAATGAAGGGGTTCTCATAGAGATTTATAAAATTGTAACAGGTCTAGACAGGGTAGATGCAGTGAGGATGTTCCTGATAATGAGTGTGTCCAGAACCAGGGGTCACAGTATGAGGATTTGGAGTAGACGATTTAGGGTGGAGATGAGGAGACATTTCTTCACCCAAAGAGTGGTGAACCTGTGGAATTCATTACCACAGGAAGTGGTTGATGCCAAAACATTGAATGTATTCAAGAGGGGACTAGATATAGCACATGGGGTGAATGGGATCAAAGGTTATGGGGAGAAAGCAGAATTAAGCTATTGAGTTGGATGATCAGATGATCAACCATGATCGTGAAGAATGGCGGAGCAGGCTTGAATGGCCTCCTCCTGCTCCTATCTTGTAAGTTTCTGTGTTTCTTCAGCCTTCAGATTTAGGTCTTGCAGCCAGTAAGAACTGAATTCTCATTTCAGGTCCCTAAAGAAGTGAATCCCATTGGAAAGTATAACAAATCAAAAGCAAAGAGTTGCAAATACTGGGAATTTGAGACAAAAGCTGGAAAGGCGAGGTCAACCAGCAACCATGGAGAAAACAGGGATATGGTAGTGTCATGGTTATGGTAACTGAACCAGAAAACTGGAGGATGTGCTATGGCGGATGGTGTATAATGTGGGGAAAGGTGAACTTGATCCCTTTGCCACGATGAATAAAAAAGTAGAGTTTTATTTGAATGGAAGGAGACTGGATGTCACAGTACATGAATCACAGAACGTTAGTATGCAGGTACAGCAAGTGATTAGGAAAGTAAGTACAATGTTGGCGTTGATTGTAAAGAGAATTACGTATATGTAGGGAAGTTGCTACAGTTGTACATTACCTTAGGCAAATCACATCTATGTACAGGTTTGGTCTCCTTACTTAAGAAAAGATGTAATTTAATTAGATGTAGTTCAGAGAAGGTGTACCTGACTGAGTCTTGGGAGGAAGAAGTTATAGAGGGAGAATCATATAGTGTAGAAACAGGCCCTTCTGGCCATCATATCTATGCTGATCAACAAACACCAAACCATACTAATCCCATTTACCTGCGTTTGGTCCAAAGCCTACAATGACCCTATCTTATGAAGAAAGATGGATCAGGTTGGGTCTATACCTATTGGTGTCAGAAGAATAACAGGTGATCAGAATTTTATCAAAAATCAGTTAAGTGTCAATTTTGGCTGGTTTCACGGAGAGTTTCTCTTCATGAGCCTGAATGGGTTTTCTCACTTTATTCTCTGCAGCTTGCCTCGTTAGCTGTGCACCACACCGCTATGGCACCCTGCTTCTGCTATCTTCCCTCTTGTCAATGGCAGAAGTACTTGCCTCTGCCAGAACCTCCCAGGATTCCCAGCTCTGGAGCCATTTCTAAAGCTGAACCATCCATCAGGTCAAGCCCCGCCAGTCAGGACTTGCTCTTCACAGTGCTCATAGTGGGACTGGAACTGAAAAGAAATGCTTCTGAGATCACATGGGTGACATGGATGTTGTTTCATTGCTTTTGTATGTTCGCATTCATCACTGCATTGCTATTTAAGAACAAAGCTACAGTTACGCATCATTAGTATCATCCTGTCTTAGAACCCTACTTTTTTGCTACTTTTTCCCCAATGCCTGATGTTCTCATTCTTCATAGTTTAATATGAAACAATCATATCCTGGAGTGCCTTCAAACAGTTGAAGACATTCTGTTTTATTCAGCAAGAATAAAAGAAAAAGCAAACAAAAGCTACATTTGCTTCTAGGGAACAGACAAGGACTGCTTGCCTTTCGGCCATGAGACCATAAGATATAGGAGCAGAATTAGACCATTTGGTTCATTGGATCTGCACCGTCATTTCGATCAGGGCTGATATGTTTCTCAGCCCCATTCACCTGCCTTCTCCATGTAACCCTTGATCCCCTTAATAATCACGAACCTATCTAACTCTATCTCAAATACACTCAACAACTTGCCCTCCACAGCCCTCTGAAGCAATGAGTTTGACAGATTAACAACCTTCTGGCTGAAGAAATTCTTCCTCATCTCATTTCTAAAGGGATGCCGCTTTGCTGTAAGGCTTCTAGTCTCTCTTGTGAGCAGAAACATCATCTCCACATCCACTCTATCCGGGCCTCTCGGTACTCTGTAAGGTTCAACAGGTCACTCCTCATCCTTTTAAACTCCATTGAGCAAGATCCAAATCATTTTTGTAAACCTCCTCTGGACCCCCTCCAATGCCTGCACATCCTCTCTTAGATATGGGGCCTAAAACTACTCACAACATTCCAAATGCGGTCTGACCAGAGCCTCAGCAGTATATCTCTGCTTTTGCATTTTTGCCCTTTGGAATGAATGCTAATATTGCATTTGCATTCTGAACTGTCAACTGGACCTTCATGTTAACCTTAAGAGAATCCTGGACTAGGACTCCCAAGTCCCTTTGTGCTTCAGTTTCCAAATCCTTTCCTCGTTTAAAAATAGTCTGCTCCTCTATTTTATCTACCAAAGTACAGAACTTTACACTTTCCCACATTGTATTCCATCTGCCACTTCTATGCCCACTCTCCTAACCTGTCCTAGTCCTTCTGCACCTTCCCCACTTCCTCAGCACTATTTGTCCCTCAACCTATTTTTGTGTCATCTGCAAAATTTGCAACAATACCCTCAGTTCCTTAGTCCAGATAATTAATGTATAATGTGAATAGTTGTGGTCCCAACACTGACCTCTGTGAAACTCCATTAGTCACTGGCTGCCATCCTGAAAAAGACCCCTTTATCCCCACTCTCTGCCTTCTGCCAGTCAGCCAATCATCTATCCATGCCAGCACTTTGCCCCTAACACCATGGGCTCTTATCTTATTTAGCAGCCTCCTGAATGGCACCTTGTCAAAGGCCATCTAGAAATCCAAATAGATCATGCCCAAAGGCTCTGATGTATAACTTCCCCATTATTCCTCAAAGAATTCAAACAGCTTTGTTGGACATGACCTCCCCTTGATGAAGCTGTGCTGGCTCAGCCCTATTATAGCAAGTACTCTGCAATCTCATCTTTAATAATGGACTCTAAAATCTTACCAAAAACTGAGGTCAGGCTAACTAACCTGAAGTTTTCTGTCTTCTGCCTCCCTCCCTTCTTAAACAGGGGTGTTACATTCGCCATTTTCCAGTGTTCTGAGACCCTCCCTGACTCCAGTGATTCCTGAAAGATCACTACGTTGCTTCCACAATCTCCTCAGCTATTTCCTTCAGAACTCTGACCAGCTCCTCCCTCATTTCTTTGCAGTTACCTTTACTGAATTGGAATACCGTTACATCTTATTCGAGCTTCTTTCTCTCAAACTGCAGGGTGCATTCTATCATATTATGGTCACTGCCCCCTAGGGGTCCCTTCACCTTCAGCTCCCTAATTAAGTCTGTCTCATTACATGTCACCAAATCTAGAATTGCCTGTTCCCAACTACAAATTTACAAGCAATGAATGTACACTACATTCAGCTCACACCTAACAAATATTTTGAGGAAATGACAAAGATGATTGATGTGGGCAGGGCAGTGGATATTATTGTCTACATGGACTTTAGCAAGGCCTTTGACAAGGTCCCTTATGGCAAGCTGATGCAGAGGGTGAAGTCACATAAAATCTACCATGAGCTGGCTTGGTCATAGAAGCCAGAGAGTAGAAGTGGACGGGTGTCTTTATGACTGGAGATCTATGACCAATGATGTTGCACCCAGTGCTGGGACCCCTGTTGTTTGTAATGTACATAAATAATTTGGATAATTATGTAGGTGCTCTCTATTAGTAAGTTTGCAGATGCCACAAAGGTTGGAGCAGCTGCATATAGTGGGGAGGATTGCCAGAGGATACAGCAAGGCATAGATATGCTGGAGACATGGGCGGAGAAATGGCAGATGGAACTTAATCTGGACAAAGCCAGGTGTTGCATTTTCGAATGCAGCAGGGAGGTTTACATTAGATGGCAGAACCCTTAGAGGCATTAGCCTACAGAGGGATCTAGGTGCACAGGTCTGCAGTTCCCTGAAAGTGCAAACATAAATGGATAAGGTGGTCAACAAGGCATATGGCATGCTTGCCTTTATCGGTTGGAGTATAGAGTATAAAAAATTTCAAGTCACGTTGCAGTATAGAGCTTTAGTTAGGCCACGTTTGGAATAATGCAGACAGTTCTGGTTGTCATGCTATCAGAAGGATGTGGAGGCTTAGGAGAGGATACAGAAATGGTTTACCTGATGTGGCAGGTATCAGCTGTGCAGAGAGAACGGACAAACATGGTTTGATTTCACTTCAACAT